TTACTTGCCCATTTAGTCGTGCCATGACTAGGTCATTATTCCCTAGTGGTCTTCAGGGACAGGTGCGTAACACGTGCCACCCTAAATACGGCTGGTGACCTTGAAGCCGCCAATGAATGTCAAGTATCGGATAGACGCTCTCTGTTTTCACTGGCCATCTCTCTTTACCATCTTGGCGTGGTTTCATACATCTGAATCATGAACACTCTACATATAATTGTTTGGTAACATGTTATAGATGACATAATTAAGTGCACCCTCGCTCTGGCACTCTGCGCTATGGGATAGCCCCTGCACCGCTTATTTGAATGATTTCTCATATGCAAAAAAGGTGAACCACCAAGTGTCAGTCCCATGTGGGTGAGAGAACCGTCACGAAATCTGTTAAGTATCTCTTATTGCTTTGTAGGGACCAGAAGCAAAAATGATTGCACCTTGTCGCTTGCGAGTTCAGGGCTCCTTAATTTGATCACTTCTCTAGCACTTTGCATACTTTATTTGGACAAGTGTTGGCTGCGAGGTTGACGGAGTCACACCAACTGTTCTTAACCCAGCAACCTGTTACCTTGTTCGGCATGCTGAAGTCCATTTATTGTTTCACGACACGATGTAAGCACGCTTGCACCTTGGGATTGTGTCATGCACAAGGTAACACACAAGTGTGCGTCATCTGGTGGGATGCTTTTAAGAGACGTCGTTGACACTCGATAGGGCGTAATATCATTAATCAGTTATCCATCCCTTTGCATTTTCGAACACTTGCGACCTAAATCATCGGCTGGTTCCAGGCAACGTTACGCTCACAGCTATTATCTTTTTCAAGGTGTCGATTCAGTTGCGTGCGTGTATGCATTCTATTAACTGCATACACGTTCTAATGCATTTTTCAGTACGTCGTTAAACGGCGGACCGAATCACAAAAGTTTCATATGCTACCGTGAAGTAACCTTTCCCGGTGCACCGTCCATTACCTTCACTTTCGTACTGCACATTTATAGCGCTTGGTATTTGTGCCTTGGTATTAAGGCGCATCTCGACAGTCATAGCTGGTATTTGTTAAACTCATCAAAAGTGGAGTTCTGAGTTGCAGCGTTTGTGAAATATATGTTTTCCATATGCGTAATGCGCGATTTCTCAGCTGATCGCAAACATTTATGGGATATTATTTCGTGAAAGCTTCATTCTGCCACATGTGACGTTATCATAACTCAGTACACATTGATATCTCAGAAACGCCTGCAAGGAATTTTTAGGCGGCAGCACAAGCTGCCATGGCAACAACCAATGTAAAGTGACAGTGGAAATTTAGCTGCGACACAATTGTAGGTGTTCGGGAGTTGTGACGCCTGTACAATTCACATGGAGCTTCTTAAGCGTGCAGTTCGCTGCGCGTGCGTGTGGTAACTGGTTTATATTCCGTAAGGGGGGGGGGGGCGTTCACTGAACCCGCTTATGGTTAACCTAACTCGTAAAGGAGTCAGTTGACACCCACGTCGGGGTGTACGTAAAAGGGAAGTGACACTGTCTCCGGAGGTTTCTGATTTCACTGATTGTGTAGCAAGACATCCCATAGTGACAGCCGTGGGTATTTTATGACATGTAACTTGTCCGGACTGTTCAGTGTTGCAAATGATGTCAATGTATTACCTATATCAGGCGTAGAAACGATATGTGGTCGAAGCAACTGCTGTCCTGTTCCTCTAAAGATGGCATATTTCTTGCATCAGCGCGGAAAAAGCAGTTTTAATGTCCAACCATCGTTTCTCATACCTCTATGCCACAGCTTATATCAAGGAAAAGCCCGTGCGCCTGAGGCTGACAACCCGACCGCTGTGATAATGAACATGTTCTTAAGCAAGGGACGCGACGGAATTCCTCGGCGGCCGGCGAGTCGTGGGGTCTGATACGACTTCGCGAGCGCCAGTCTGGCATTAGAATGTTACGGAATAGGTGTGAAATGGGTAAATAGGTGCAAAGGAGTTCAAATTCAATCGTTCTTGAAACAGCCTAGATACAGTATATTGAATATCGGTCGCAGCAAATTAGGATGCCCACCATGCCTGCGTACCGCCACGTAGCAGTTATATTAACGGCGCCATTGCAGCAAATCAACGACTGCAAACGCCCTTGACACATTTTGAAACGAAATGGGACGACGCGAACCACTACCAAAGTGTTCAGCCGCGGGATGGTGTGCGTCATACGCGCTCCACATTCCAGCCTCCCCCCAAAGAACCTTTGGAACTCGGAAGTACCAATGAAACAATGATAGCCTAATAAAGGAATGTCGACGACGGATGTACGCGGGCAGGGCAGGCACGCGGAGCTGAGCCTCGGCTCGCCCGACAAAGGCCAGCCGATGTGGGGGTGGGGTCTCAGAGCTACTGCTGGCCACGCGAACACGAGTCCCTAGGACATTTAAGGCCCGCGCTCTGCGGTCCGGGGCCTTTTAATACTGCTTCCAGCCAGCCTTTCGGACCCTTCGGGCCCTTGATCGTCTGTCCCGAGGGGCCATATAGAGAGGGAAATGTGCCTCTCATATGTTTCCCCCTCACCCCCCCCCCCCTGCTTACGCTCCTGTCTACGAGTTCACGCAATGTAAAAGTACACGGCCTGATTAATAAATTTACGCCAAATCCTGAGTTGTTCCGGTTAGTCCGGTACCCAGCCTTGAGATTAATTCACTATGCTTGTATCGATGGTACATTTTGAATCACCAATCACGTATATATATATATTTGCAAGTTAACAGCTCAAACATCAATCCTCTTAGTGCCGATTTCAAATCGACTAAAAGAAATGCCGGACTACAATCATCACGCTTCAAAGATTTGAGTAATTTATTAGGGTGAAGTGTTTTAAAATGCCTGGAGCGACGCGGCAAACAATAAGCATTGCTTGCGTTCGAAAGTGACGCAATGCTCGCAAAAAATGGCTGGCCGCTCATAATGTCTAAAGAGTTAGGAATGCTTGCGCTGTTCCTAGTAAGCAAACGCAAAGGTTTCCGCTCGCCAAACCAAAAACAAAATAATCATGCAGCCCAGCGCATTCGAAACACGGTAGATGACATTTTGAATACCACAAAGGCAGCGGCAAATGCCTGATGCCTGGTTCTCGGTGTTTCAATGGTGACTTCGAGCCGTTTCCTGACATAATTGGTGGCTCAGTCGATGTGGATCCCTCTTGCGCGAAGCATGTGGCGGAGGTGACAAAACTACAAAATCGTGTTTCAGCTCTCAAAACATGACCGGTCCTTGTCGCAAGCTAAGTCCGCGAGTCCAACGAAAACCCAAGTTCTTCCCTAGCTTGCTGCGCACAATATGAGGCGGTTTAAGCGGCAACCATTATCAGAGGCTGTAAACAAAATTAAACAGAGCAGCCCAATTCGTTACGAAGAGACGGTGAAGAACGTATAACACCCCTGACATCTCTAGCGCTTTGTACACAGCGTTGTAGGGTTTGAGGTCCAGCGCCCGTGTACCTGACAATGTTTTCGCCTCACGCACTGCTGCCTTCGTGCGCCTTCTGCACCGAGGTCGGGGGTGCGCCAGATACAAACCAGACCGTACCACGGTGCGCTGAGCTTGTCAGCAGTCATAACACGCGTCCGGGTGGCCAGTTGAATGCGACACGCCCTGCTGAGCGGGGTCAATTTGCCCCCTCCCATTGAGAGCCCAAAACATACAACCAGAGAACCAAATTTACAACGTGGGAGGGCCCGTTTATGAAATCACTTATGCCAAATGCTGATGAAAAACTTATTGTTCCTAGGTTGTGACCTTTAGGACAAATCAGTTAGAATATGTCAAACTCCAGATCAGTGTTTAATATGCTCTCAGACTTTTTCATGCAACCAACTTTAACTCAGACGCCTCCTTCAAGCAAAAGTTCCCTAGTGTTCATATCAGGCCAGTGATCTTAGTTGACCTCCAGAACCTCCAGGTCACCAGACCATTCAATACTGAATTGGCATTTGACTTTAACTTAGTGCCAAGGCTTATGCGAGACGGTATGTTGATAAGAACAAAAGGTTGATCGTGGTCATGCTAGCTCAGCGACCTCCTCTGATCTGAATGAAGTTAACATGAGGTGTGTGTTAACGTCGTGGTAAAATCATTAAAAATGAGCGCCAAAACCACCCAAAAAGCAAGTTTCTGATACAGAGTGGTTTGGTTTTAACCCTGGCCCGGTCTTCATACCCGACTAAACGTTAATGGAATAACACGAAATCCTTAATTCAAAAAGGTCTGATTGTCTAAGAATGTATTCCCTAGGAATTGCCTTTGCTGACAGCGATGGCTGATTTGGATCCGTCATATCTCAGCAACCTTACAAAATACATGCAATCATTATACCCAAATATCGACTGTTAAGTTGACTAAAAGTGCACAATGTTTGGTGCGGCAATGCCACGTCTCTCGAAATTCATTTTGGAGAACCTTTGGGGTCATACTGCCCCCACCCCACCCCACCAGAGGGTGCAATAAACGAGCTGGCCGGACGATATCTGCAATAGCGAGCAGCAGCTGTCCGTCAGGGTCCTCGGAAAAAGTAACGTTTTTGAAACGCAACGTTTTACTGCTAGCGTGCAGTTTAAATCACGGTAAGTTTTTCCGTTGGAATGTTTTATGTTAGTGCTACTCGAGTATGATATCTGAAGTAGCACTCAGTCCATTTATTTACTTCAAGAATGCGGGTATATGGACAAATGCAATGCTGAACGAGCTTGTTCTTGGGCAGCACAACACCAACAGTGAGCATCATCACACTCGCCCGAGTCGCAGCGTGTAAAGCGTACATAGCCTGCGACCGGGCCGAAGCCGGTCCTGCGAGCGCTCCTAATGCGTCGCAGGTCGCATGCTGGCCTATTGCGACAGTGCCTCAGATAACCTGGACCAGTTCTGGCCATCGCCGGGAGCGATGCCACCGGTCCTGCCGGTGTCCTATCGGCTCATTATAAAACGGACTCCGAGCTTGCTGTTGTCATCAGTTTTCGGGGAGAAGCCGCTGCATCCACAGCACTGCCTCCGTTCGCACTATCGCCAGCATGAAGGTACATTTGCTGTGTGTTGACACGCAGGTCAATGCACTTGCCGGTCGTAGATGCGCTTAAGGCGGGCTGCAATCACGCAGTAATCAAACGCTGCATGGAACCGCCGTGCAGTGCGTTTTTGACTGTGGCCAAAGATCGTTTTGATGCCCACAACAAATCATTACGGGCGTATGTGCTATTAAATGCTTGGATGCAATGCCAAATATATGCTACATGCGTGTTATTTCCAGGTCCTGTTTGTTTTTGCCGTGGTGCTGGCCCTGGCCACCGCCAGCGATCTCCGTCGCTACGGAGGAGAGCAGGAGGAGGAGGAGGACAGCGACCACACCCCCTACCAGTTCAGCTACTCTGTCGACGACGAAGACACCGTGTTCTCCCAGAGTGAGGAGGGCGACGAGGACGGTGACGTCACTGGAGAGTACTCTGTCAACCTGCCCGACGGCCGCGTCCAGACAGTCAGGTACTTCGGCGACAACGAGGACGGCTACACGGCCGAGGTCAGCTACGAGGGCGAGGCCCAGTACCCTGAGGACCAGTCGTACCAGGCCGAGGAACGCGAGGAAGAGGAAGAGGAGGAAGAGGAAGAGGAGGAGGAAGAGGAAGAAGAGGAGGGGGAGCTGGTTCCCATCTATGCTTACCGGCCAGTGTACAACTAAATGTTACATGCGATGTCAGCAGGGAACGGTTCGTGCTTAATTCCCCGACAAACGAGTTTCTCCTGCATGTCTCTCCGGAGTCCCACTAGTCTGTTGATCAGGAGAAGTAAATACATCGTTTGTACACTAGTGAAAATCAAACATCTGTGTGCAAGTGAGTCCTAAGTGCATTTACCTCACATAGGATAGAGTAGCTTTGTTCTTGTCTATTACAGCGCGTGTCGTTTTATCAGGAGGATGGTTTGTGAAAGAGGCCTCGCATCGACTGTATTGATGTTATTTAAAACGAATACAACTGTGTCAGTAACAACTTTTTGTGATATCAATCTGCACACCTACAGACCTGAAGGAAACATTTTGCTTTCTTTCACATCTGAAATGCCTTCAGAAGTTTGTTGTGCTGCTCTTTCAAACATTCGAATGCTGACATCCTATCAAAAGTATGGATTACATGCCGAGACAGGATGAGTAATTTAGAAAACACGCCGAGCAAGTGAAAAGGCGGAGTGTGCTGTAGTAAAAAGAAAGCGGTGAATAAGTGATGTTTGCTGTCTGTTTTCTGACAACCCAGACCTATCAATGTGTTTTTGTAGTAACCTAGTATTACAATGATGCAAATGATGATGAATTGCAGATAAATAAGGATTTCAGCTAGAGCCTTTCACGGGACATATGTATCCGCGAGTGATAAAGTAATCCTGGCATTCATTCGATTGGTTGCATTTTTTTACCGAAATGGATCGGTACGAACTTTTCAATTATTGCATAGCCCACACGGATCAGATGGACTGAACAATAACAAACTAAAAGCGTGGCAAACTGGCGCCTGAGATGCTAAAATGAAAACAAAATTCAGACATTTTGAAATCCTTCAAGAAGATTGGTATTTACATTGTGAAATGCAGCTACAATTCATGTAGTTCATCAACATATTCTACTAACAAAGGCTCAGACGAAGTGACAGCACTGACAAATTGACACCAACAACTAACAACCTGTAAAGGTAATTCTGGATATCACGAGACTTACACAGCCCCAAAGATGAGGTCATGCATCGGTTCCATGCTATCATTTTTTGGGGCATTAGGAAGCAATTTTGTTGGCTGATGCACTATAGTGTCTTAAGGACGTACGGTATTTCACTAAACTTATCTTCTTGTGGGCCCCTAGCCATAACTCCCACCAATATAAGTCGGATACGGAATGATTAGAAAACAACTTTTAATACAGCATCAAAGGACTCAAGACCTCTTGCACGGAAAGTCAGATGAACCAGGCAGTCAATGCCTTCTCACAAAATGTCCATTCATATCCGCCATATGCCACTTGGAAAATCTTGACATACTACGACAGCTTGCAAGATCACCGAAGGCCTTGGCACGCGACTAGCATATAAACATCAAAACTCATTCAACATTCCTGTCATTTTCGCTTATTCCCACATCCTCCCGACGCCGCGCATATTCACCCGGTCGCGGACTCCATTCACGGAGCACTCGCTTAAGTGGCCTGATGGAATGGTTCACATTTGACGATAGTGATGCAAGCATCAGATATGCTGAAACAAACTCATTTATAAATTTTTGTATACTTTTAAGCAGAAAAGACCACGCTGGACTACATACGTTAAGCGAATATCCTCCTCGATACGTCATTCTTTATTATGTCATCATGACCTGCACAACATTGATTGAAAGTCAATTGACGGCACTATATCTGGAAAACGTGCTCACGGACGCCAGACGTAAATGACTGGACCATTAAGTTTGTATTGCCTTGATCGCCGCATGGCATATCATATAGCAGAATTTGAATGAAATCATAATGTTATCATGAATGCCAAGGTAGCCTTAAAATACTCTCCCCGAAATAGTCTCCGCATATTCGCGGCCGTGTAGCCCAGAAACTAGAGAGGTTTAGGTTCCAAGAAGGGCAGGGCTGTGAACTATACCAAATGATCTTCAAGACGGCATTGCAATTCAGGTTCCATAGAAATATAGAACACTCCCTTTAAAGGGGGCGTTCCACATTAGTATGGGTTTTAAAGTGGAACAGCCACATCCAAGATCATTCAATGCAGTAAACGACCATGAACGTTTCGATACCTGAAAGTCCCTGGTTCCTGAGTTTAAAGGCCTACGAAGATGTACAACATATTTTGTGGGACACTATTTCAAGGCCACGCAGACATACATGACGTTATAGCAATGTCATACGAACGCTTTCAAATCCCAGTCTGCTTTTTGCTCATGGCAAAAAATAACATGGCCGTTCGCTCGTTCGTGTTAGCGATAATGAAGCACAAATTATCCAAACTTTAGGAGGTGATTGTTTTATAGATAAAGTTCGCTGCCGAATGCGTCTTTCGGACGCGGACGTAAACGTTCCGGTTTCGCAGCGTCGCTGCGGCATTTGCTAAGCCGTTCTAGCGGTTTGACACAGGTGTATGGCGCGTACCAAAAGTGCTGCATATACGGTGGTATATGCACCACAGTATACGGAGACGGTGTGGAATCATATAGCTGCGTTGTCTAAAATACATCGCTTCCAGACTGCAACAAAAAAAGACAGCAACTGCCGCCGGTCGCCCCCATTATCAACGTGTAGAGCAGAAATTTTGAGTTCTCATAATACTGCCAGCATTCTATCAGGAAAAAGTGCTCTCAAAACATTTTCAAAACCAAAAAGATTGGAATTTAAGCACAGTTTGAGCTGGCCTGCGTTTGGTGCACCGGCGCGCCAGGTTCAACGCCCCGATGTGTGGATGTAGATGTAGATGTCCGGTGCTGTGGATGGATCTTTCAGGCCTGGGCCCAATTCAGATGCCTTGTTATCTGCCTATGCGGATTCCACATTTTACCTAACTTAGGAGGCTGGTGAACTGAACTGCTCTGCTGTGGTAAATAGGCAGACTGCAAGTTTACAACTCAAAACATTGCAAGCAAATTATGACCAATATATGGTGTGTTAAGCTGGTTGATGGTATCAGTGAACGGCACTATTACGAACTAATGCGTGCATTATTCTGCGTGGGCATAGTTTGGCTTATTCAGGTGGCTTTTGGGATATTTTGGGGTTGCTTTGACCATTTTTGCGTGCTTAGCCTCCTGCCTCTCCAATTTAGTTTGTTAAGTTATACCTTGACCATATCATGCAACCACTTACCTATCCAGATATCGGGACTTTAATGTTAATGATGCGGTCAGGCCAAGGCCATGCGGATCTGCCAGAAATGTATTCAATGCACCAGACGTCAGAACATCATTATTGCACTGAACCCACTGCTGAACTATATGTATCGAAGTGGGATGTGTGCCAACATGAACACTCAAAGTTGTGGTACCCATACATTGAAATTCTTCCCATGATGTGGCTGCTACACTGTACACGCTCAATAACAGCCCAGTGTTAAGTGCATTTTTGCGGTCTGGACAGCGATGTGCTACATCGCAGTGCGTGAAACCAGCATAATGGTGGTAACTCTATTTTGGCCCCTTTTAATCTTGATGGCTGAATAAAAACCAGGATGCAAATATCACTGACCGATGCAGTGTCCACGGAAATTTAAATTGCTGTATTTGCCCACCAAGTCGTCGAGCATGCTGAGCCATTGTCGAGCATGTCTGGCAACAGGTATTTTTCGTTGTTTGTACTTCCAATGAAATGCGACTTAGCACCATTGTTGTAAGACATCTTGCAGGCAGTGATTTACATTTCACATTTCTCAGTTAGGTATAGATGTTCAGATTATTTGGACATCATAACAGATCACGTTCTCAACCATTTTGATTCTCCAGTTCAAAAAGCTCATCTTCAACAGCGGTTAGATGCATGCAACATCAATCAGGTTGCAGCTGATGGTTGGGTATGCGAGGTGCACTTCTAGGGCCAAAGCATTCTCAAGGTCAGGGCAGGTTGTTCCCTGACACATGACCAATTTGCTTCATGTCCTACGTGCTAACCAATTCTCCCAAGACCATGTATATTCCAGCCAGGCGATAAAAACTTGCTCTCACCTGGCTCACAAGGAGGGCGAATGTAGGCCAGTGGGGCAGGGCAGAGCAGGGCAGGCGGGGCAGGAGGGGTGCTGTCTTTAGCACAAGCTGCAGTCTTGAAGTATGACACTGGATGGCACGGTGACGTGACATGACATGATATGACGTAGTTTATTGTTGGAATAGAGCCGCCACATTAACGGCATAACTAGCATACCTATTTCCCTATCCACGAGGTTTTACCTAGTATATGTACATCAGTAGCTAAAATAAGAAAGCATTGAAAAATACTTTCAATGGAGCCTGCGTGTAGACATATTGGGCAGAGAATTCAAGCAAAGGGCAGCAATGGGCAACAGGGCAGCAAACATTGCTGCCTTACCATTGTACCATTGCTGCCATTGCTGACTTGCTGAGATGACATAAGAAAACTATGATAGCATGAACAGCTGGCATATGCTTGAACTGGATGCCAGTATGTGTCACCAACCAGCCCAATGTTGCTCGCTCAGATGCCACCTGAAATAGACGCGTGATTGGTGGTTGAGCGACGAACGTGACCTTGACCTTGGCCTAGCTGTCGCCCAGTCATGCTGATGATGCAATACATAGGTAGAGCACATGGAACTTAACGAGGGTTCAAAACCTTGGAAGGAAAAAACGCACCATAATATTTTTCTTTTTTGATGAGGCCAGGAATTCAGACAATATGACAAACACTTTAACAAGGTATTGTTCGACGCAGCATCATTAGCAGCGCACTAACCAACCGCGATTTCCTGATCAAGTCAGGGCTTAACATACGGGCGCAACGTGACCTGTCCCGCCCGCCTTTAACATAGCGATGATCGTCATTTGGCAATCAGTTCATGGCGGTAGTGAAGCTTTTTTGTTACGTTTTCCCGCTTTTTAATTGCATCTAAAAGATGACATTACATTTCGACAACAAAGCATGAGGAAAACCAGCTACTATGCACATTGCGGGACATAAGCGTTGGGGCTACAGCACGGTGCATAATGCAAGTTTGAAAACATCATGCTTACATCCGGAGCAAACCTTGACCATCTTCGTTATGAGACTCATGACCCTATGGCGGTTTTAAAAACTCGTGATATGAATTTACTAACATATCACACTAGGTGCCAATTGCTACGTAACGAATGCTAAAAAGTTTACCTTTACCTTAACCATGTTTTGTGCGATGACACTGAAGTCCACAAACAAATCCCTATCTGTATCATTACCCACCACCACGGCCACTACCGAAGAGGATGACTCACGAGTTGTTGCGCATTCCAAGGTATTCCGTAGGCCTGGTTGCCAGTTGATGCCAGATGGCCCAGGCGTCACAAATCCATTTCATGACGTAACCAAACCATCACGTATTGTGGAACATGTTTACTGATTATTGAGGCTTCGTCATCTAGGCAGCTTTCAGCCCTAACAGCAGATCAATAGTCACAAGTTGGCTTTTCCACGATATCTGCTGCTTGCCTATCTGCAAGGCAAGCAGCAGATATCGTGTAAAAAGCTCACTTGTAACTTTTGATCATGCTGTTAGGGCTGAAAGCTGCTCTAGAGCAGCAAATATCACCTTCAAATATGGAGCATTCCCTTTGAGTGGCCCCGTGACGGGAGCCCAATCTGACCGACGAGCGCATATCCCGTATAGGGGTCCCTGTGCAGGCCAACTCTCGGCAGAGAACTCCCCGGTGCATGCAGTTTTGCGCACCAAAACCCCCTCTTCTGCGACCCATAGCCCTGAAATGGTCATAACTAGTCGAAAGGACTCTAGTCCAAACCAACACATCAATGTGGTGAGAACAACCAGATATCAGAAAGTGCATACCTCAAATCTTGCGTTTAAGACTAACGTGTAGTATCCTAACTTGCCGCACAAGCGGCCCGCACGACCCACGATGTGTGCAGACAAATGCCTGCTGTATGCAATGTCACTGCGACACCTCTCCATCTCATGGAGTATTCATGATGCACCTTTCAGTGCATGCATGCATAATGCATCATCACAGGCCGCTGATGTAGCATGGATCAGGCTCCGAGAGTGCTGCCCTTGTGTTTATACAACTGGCTGATGCGCGGCAAGTCACATACAACATGTTCTATTGATGCATCTGGCGTGGGGAGAGGTTACTGAGAGGAATGTACAAGAATACAAACAGATGTAACAGGAGCAAAGGAACACAGAAGGTATGAAGCGTGGAATAATGAAAAATATGATCAGAATGAAAGCTTCAAGTCATATCTCAAGTTACATCGTATAGACCAGACATTCCACTTCAGGCTCAGGCGAGTTTTCTTAACGCCAAACAAGGAACTAATGTGTCCAGAACGAAAACACCTCGAAGGAAAAATTCAATGTCTAGGCTATGCTGTACCGCTCGTGAATGTAAACTTCTCGCAAATGTCCGAAGCATTGAAGCTGGTAAGGCTCAGGCCAGAATACAAGGATAGCATCCGCACTGCGACTAGATTCCTTCGTTCGGCGAGTTGCACACTCCCGGTCAAGTCAGCTCGGCTGAATCACTGCACGGCGCCAGCAAGCCCGAGCGACGCTGCGCCATCATTGAATCGGGCCCGAGCTGCCGTGGCGAGCGAGGACGCTGCCGTCGGCGGGGCTGGCAGTCCGGATGTGCTGCCCATCCAGCTGCACCGCGTGACCCTGGATGAGGGTCACCGAGTCTAGGCCGGGTATTTAGCCCGCCGCAGGTCGGCTGCTGCGTCAGTTTGCAGCAGGCGCCTGTGGACCAACATACATCGCGAACATGAAGGTAGGGGGACTAGGGCACTGAATGGTAGCAGCAAGGGTCTTTTATAAATCTGTCTAGTCTGGTGTCCAGGTAACTCATAGATGTTATAAAGGACTTCACAGCAGCATCTTTTAATGAACACTCAATTTTCTGTGGAAAAAGGACATTTTTCACCGGCTTTAGTGTGGCAATTCTTCCTAAACCGACCATTTACTATTTTGGACGATCTTAGCACATCGTGTGGTGTCGGGTGGAAACGGCTGGATCTTGTTCTGTAATACCCTTATGACGTAAGCGATTCCACCAAGGTCTAAAGCAAATACAAAGTCACCATCATGGTAACATCAAGTTCAAGATCAGGTCAGGTCAACATCTTCATACTGAATCATTGAGAAGAGAATGTTTTACGACCAATGCTTCCCTACAACGCCTTCAGCGTAATAGCGCAACTCACGCTCACACGTTGGTCGTCGTTGGTGCTCCTTTAAGCCCACGTGTCAAACAGAGCCAGGCGCAGTAACTCACGTGTCAAACGTGTCACGTGTCGTCTCCGCCGTCAAAGACAAGCCGAATCCGATGCTGCATCAGCCTCTGTTGACCGTGGCTCGTCCTGCGGCAGCCGTTCCTGCTGCTGGTCGTGCTAGTGGTTGTGGCCTGCCTCTTCTCGGTCGTCTCGGCCAGCACCAAATACCGGGCCCTGGCCGGGTCAAGGTCAGCCGGGTCACGCCCCGACGACGACGAGCGGCCAAGTGCTCACCGCTTCGCCTACGCCGTGAAGAGCGGCCCGGCGCGCTTCTCACAGGAGCAAGAAGCCGACGAAGAGGGCGATGTGGAGGGCACGTATACGGTGCAGCTGCCGGACGGCCGGCTGCAGACGGTGCGGTACATGGCCGACGGCGAGGACGGCTACACGGCGGCGGTGACGTTCGAGGGCGAGGCCAAGTTCCCGAAGACGCGCCGTTACCGCGCCGGCGACGACTCTGACTCCGACTCCGACTCCGACTCCGACTCCGACTCCGACTCGGAGGATGATTCGGACTCCGACTCGGACGACGAATCAGACGAGTCGGGCTCGGAGGATGACGACTCGGACTCGGAGGGAGAAGACTCTGAGGAGGAGGAGGAGGAGGAAGAGGAGGAGGAGGAGGGCGGGGTGGTGGGACGCCTAGCAAAGGCTCCGCGGCCCGGCTACGTTCCCGTGTACGCGTACAGGCCCATCGTCGCCGGCGGCTCGGGTCGGAAGCTGCGGAAGCGGAAGGGTAGCAACTAGCTCCCGTCAGTGGAACGAGTGCACACAAGAGCCGTGCAGAGATGCTCCTTCTTATTTGTAATCGTGTGCACTAACTGGCGCTAAAAGCGCATGACACGCTTGCACTCACAGTTGGCTGTATTTATTGTGTGCTGGTATCGTTGTTCTTGTGTTCTATTGCTGACGTGTGAGCATCTGTCATGAATGATATATATATATATATATATATATATATATATATATATATATATATATATATATATATATATACTTATGTGTGTGTATTTTCCCTGAGATGCCCGTTTCTTATTTTGTAATAAACCTCGTAAGCACAAAATGATTTGGAGGCGCTTTTTATTTGGACATGAAGCTGTGCCTAATCGAGGTGAAGTATGAATCCTCGCGGCTAAAACCGTTGATCCGTACCCACTCATTGCCATACCGTTATCGCCCTACCCATACCTGACCACTACGCATTGCCATTGCATGCATTATTTACCCGTCCACCTGCTCACACCTTTAAAATGCTGTACTTTCTCTTTAGACCGTCACCGTCTGCGAGCTTTCCATTTCAAATGCAGTTGAAGTTCTGGCTGAAAATTTGCTATCCGTTAATCAATTGCACACAATCATTTGCACGCATCTTACACCCCAGAAAATCTTATCATCATCGCTGTTGAGTTACGTTTAAGTTATACACCCCATCATACAAAAGCGCAACAATAGTCCCTTAACAAGGAAATGAAAGGATCAGGTGTGTTGAGACCACACTGTGCGCAGAGAACACATTAATCCAAAGTTCAAGCTTTACAGGTGCTTTAAGGCAGCACATTTGAATAAGCATCCACTCATGTATTAGTGATTCACTCAGCAACTTGGTCAGGAAAGGAAAGTGCCCGGCAACACGCGCCCGACAAAATATCGCAATGCGGGGATTGTTAAAGCGTGTATAAGACCATGTTTGCTCTCAAAATTATTTAGGTTGCTACGCACATTCACGAGGAACGTTATGCATAGATGAGACACAATTTATATCCTTCACTCACGCACTCGTGATTGTGGTTATTGCCTTGATGTGTCATGCGTGCTAGCTTAAAGTCGTGTTCATGCAGTGAGTGAGGCCTGATGCGTGATGCACCATACCTATTTAATTGAAATATTTTGCATGTATATGTGGCGCTTGATGTGTCATGCCTGTTCACTTAAAAACGTACGCATGAAATCCTTTGCAGGTATGAATGATGCGTAATGTGTGATGCCTGTTTCACTGAATTCGTTTGCCTGCGCAGTTATTTTTCGTGCATTTTTATTCCTAGATATGCCCTTAATGATGGTATGGCTGTCAATTACTCCTTGTTTAATCTCCTGGATGTCGCTGACCTGTAAAAGCTGTGGCTCGCTGTTTCTAGACAAAACCTAAAAAATCGAGCAGGATTGGCAGGGAACTTGAATCTACTGCTCATATTCGTCTCGATAAAGGCGTATAGCCGAAAGATAAATATATCTATCTTTCCAATGTTCTGGGCATTCTAGGAGAAACAGAGCCGTTAATGCTGTCTTATCTATTTGGAATTATTTCATGGTCGAGAGGTCGTGCGTAAGAACCTGCACGTTTCAAATCAGAGTTTATAAAATTGTGATGTCCTCTAATTTTGTCCATCCCGAACCTCCCCTTCACCTCCCGGAAAGGCGTCTATGGTGATGCACAGACGAGCATTGACTAACGTCTAACAACTAACAACTAACATCAGACGACCTTGTTAACGCTCTTATATTGGAACAGTATTCATGGATGTTGGATGGCGTCTTGATAGTGTCGGAATTGGTTTTTCACTACAAAAGGCATCGGTCAGAACAATCGAGATAAAGATTAGATAAGGATACCTCAGATAAGAAGCTAGAACAGCCTAGATGACCGAGTTATAGCGCATGGGAATAATCCGAAATATTACTTAGCCAATCCTTGAATGGGTAATAATGAGCCGCGTCAGTTTCCCCAAACTGAAACATATTCAAACAGCACAGCGTCTGTACATCGTGCCATATAAGAGGTCAAACGGAACGTGGTTGAGCAGCAGAAAAGCAAATAATATCGCGATAAGAATACGAACTTGTAGGTTTGTGAAGAACGCCGATGGTCTAAATACATTTTCAACATAAAATGACACATGCCAAAAATGACTCGCAGTCAGAATGGTTCGTTAAGCGACCACATTAAATTATTGACTTGTTAACAAAGACGGCTTGTAGAAGCCATTTTGACTCTACAAACCCCTAGCGATTTGCAGCTTAGTTAGCGTTCCTCTTTATATGCATCTGGAATGTACAATAATTTTTGTTTGTCAACTTAAATTCACGGCTTCTTCCCGTTCTACTTCTGAGTCCAGTCGGGGCAAAGGCAATGTACTAATATTCTTTAAAAAAGAAACAGTTTCAAGTTTAAGTAGATTCAGCTGATCGAAACACGGTAGTTGCACCGTTTGCTTCTTATACAACGAACTATTTAGTTCACTCAGCCCCTAGCGGCGACGTCGTAATCTAAGCCACCGCATGAAATCTATATAGGCATTTATAGTAAGAATACAAGCATCATTCACAGCATTCACATGATGCTCCAGCATTCTTACGTGTAAACCCACACCGCGGCGTGAAGGACATCAGTTGCGTCATGTGCCAGTCCTCGGCGTTCGTTTTCGTCGCGGAATCCCGCGTTACAGCTCCACCTCGCGCTCTCACGCGTCACTGCCGCTCCGCTGCGGTACGCACGCACGTGCACCTACTACCACAAGGCCGCCTGGTCCGGCCGTTCAGGGTCAAGTGCTCAGGCGTGTGGGGGAAGGGAGGGGCGTGGCCGCCCCGGACCGAGGCCTGCGCCACCGACGGGGGCGCGGGCGTTCGCCACGGTTGGGGACTGTTCGGGGTGCCGGCAATATAGGTCGACGACCCTGACGACGGTCTGTCCCCTGACGAAAGGTTCAAATCGGCCCACGTAGGGCACCGGTGATGGAACGACACACCGAACTAGGGCACCGGGGCGGTGTAGCGTCCCCTGCCCGGAGCCTTGAGACACGTGGACAGGTCACAGATCGCCGGCACGTCGCGTCTCAGTGGAGGGGTGGTGCTGAAGGATCTGTGTCAGGGCACACTGGCGGTCGGAGAGGAGGAGATACTGTCGCGAAGAAAATGTGGCGACGGGGGTGGCCGCGCGTCTGTTCCAACACGGAGATGCACATCCGGTATGACCTGAAAAACGGAGGCGTTTACGGCGTGTCGGGAGGTGGGGGCGTAATGAAACAGGTTCTCTGCGACGTGGCCTGCACACTAACTTGCGTGAAGCAAACGCGATGCTATCAAAAACCTCAGCACGTTGCTCTGTTTCAGGCGTGGGTGTTTTGCTAGAACATGTTGCACGGGTACATTGCATGAATTTAAAGACGCTCACTGCATGGTACTCATTTACAAAATACGCCAGTGCCTACTTATTTGTTGCTGTGCCCAGCTCTTTTCCCACGAGGGGCATGCGGCGAAGGGGGTCACTTGCCAGTCGAACTTTGCATGCCACCCGAACAAGCCAACCCTCAAGTTTTGGCGTTCCTCCTCGCGGGCACCGGCCACCAGTTCAGATACCATCGATGAGACCACGTTGTAGATCATGGGGAAGTTATCAGGCCATCATCCCGCCGTATGACTCCATTATGAACTACGACTTACCCTGATATATCAGCTCTCCGGCTCCTCTAATGCCACGACTCTGGATTGTCGACGATAGCTCTGCGAGTGGCCTGCTCATTGCTGGCGCAAACATACTTAGTAAGTTTGTTCTTTCCTGAGCAATATTAGGCGGAAAAGGCGACGGGCGAGAGAAGAGACGAGAGAGAGAGGACGAGAGAGGGGAGAGAGAAAGAGAGAGAGGGAGAGAGAGAGAGAGATGAAGAGAGCGAGAAGAGAAGAAGAGGAGAGAGGAAGAGAGAGAGAGAGAGAGGATGCGAGAGAGAGGAGAGCGGATGAGAGAGAGAGAGGGAGAAGAGAGAGAGACAGAGAGAAAGAGAGAGAGAGAGAGAGAGGAGAGAGAGGGTAGAGCAGAGGGTACTTTGTGTTATGACGAGAGCGAGAGATGAAGAGAGAGAGAGCACGCGAGGACGAGAGAGCGAGCGAGAGAGAGAGAGAGATAGAGAGAGAGAGAGAGAGAGAGAGAGAGAGAGCGGAGAGAGGGATGATGTTTGTAGCGGAGAAGGAGCGAGAGAGAGAGAGCGCGCGCGCTCGAGAGAGAGAGCGCGAGAGCAGAGCGCTAGCGAGAGAGAGAGCGAGAGCAGAGCCGTAGAGATCTAGCTCTCGCTCATCTCTCTCTATAGAACTATATCTCCGCTCTGACTCTTCTCTAGCTCTCGCTCATCTATTCCTCTCTCTCTCTCTCTCTCTCTTTCCCTCCGATATGTCGTAGCCAATCGACTGTCCACATGGTTTACAAGTTGCTGTGAAAACCCGAGATGACACGGGCGTTCAAGGAATTTTTGTATCATGCCATGATTCACAGCCAGTCGCATTGTTTTCATGCCAGGATACGACTCCAGTGACGCCATCGTCACTCTGCTATTGAAAAAAGCAGCAACCAAGATGGAGAGCACAGCGCAATTCGACCACACATTTCCTTATGTTCGTCCAGAAACACCTCTTCACTGTGAACTATATTTTTCGATTGCATACATTGGGTGCGATGGGTAGGACGTGGCAAAAACTTTGAAATCAGCAACGCCCATGATTTGATAAGCACGGATTCACTTACAATCCACTACAGTGCCGAGCGTCTCCTACACGAGTGTGTGATGTCTATTGATCAAAGCAGCCAAAATGAGCTGAGTCACCAATGCGAACCAGAGATAATGAGTGAATCATCAACGGATTGGCACTGGACATCGCGTCACCTGCACCAACAGGTAACTAGTTTCCAGGTGTTCATTGCAAAATAATTTCCACAGCAAATCAGACACCTAACAGTTAGTGACAATGGTTGACACTGAAGATCGCGCCCACAACAATGTACAATAAATATATACATATGCACACACAATACAAATGTTTTCGGACACTCTAGGCCTCACCAGCATTTCAGGAGGGCTGGAAACACAGAGAAGGTTGGACACGGGTCATAACTCCACAAGATGTCATTCATAGCTCATGTAAGACGACTGTACATCTGCACACAGCATTCCTGACTTAATCCGATGTCTGTACATGCCTGCGCAGTTTCCTGGCAGCCTGGGTTATCACACATCGGCAAACTGCAGCTCTCCCAGGGGCTTTCGTCATCCGTACGAGGCACCGACAGAGCTTGCCACGATGCCGCACTGTCCGCGCAGTGCGACTGGGGATTTCCACAGCGTGGAGGTCGGAGACCACGGCGCCCGCTACGTCTGCGGCTACACCGACAGGCTGTTGCTGGTGATGTGAGACAGCAAGTCAATCTGGGTGACGATCCCGATGACCATTTCCTTCGTGGCCACTTCCCGGTTCGCAGTCACTGGGAGAAAGAGGACGGAGAAGTCAGACGCGGTTCCGCGCTGTCAAGTTATGTAAATGTCGTAGCGTATGCTATAGCTGGTGCGGAACGGGAGGTCAAGGCATTCTGGTAAATTACGGCCCACTGCAAAAAATGTACGTTTAAAATGACTCTCATTTACACGACGACTATCAACTTTCAACGTCGGCCTCAAGGGCCACGTAGATTACAGCAGCAGATTTATCTGGGTCTCAGTTCATTCAACAACAATGTTGGGGTGTTATCCAGGGCCAGAAGGCTTGCAATGCAACTTACGTCTCCTTTGGCAGTGAACGATGAGGGCAAAGTGGCTGCGCTCCAGAATTCCGGAGAGATTTCCGAGGGTTTCATCACGAGTTACGGTGTGGAAATCACGGTACATCACCTGAAAAGTTGCAACAGCTTGTTACATTATTGGCAATTACTGAAAAAATGATGTAAGTGACGGACTCGCCCACGTTGGCCAAAAAGACGTACGCCGGGAAATTGAATTAGCCCTTCCTTACAATGCATGTCGTGCATAAGTAGCGACATTTTGTCATTGCCGCAACGAAACGTCAAAAACGGCCTTGAGAGAAGTTTTGCAAACGTTCGGTACGTCTCGACCACAGCAGCACTGCCTTGATGATAGGCACGCCAACCATACAACATCGGCGGCAGCCAGCCGGCCTTCAAGAGTGCTGACCTGTCCGACCGGTGACGAAGGCTGCACTCTCTGGATGACGAGGGCGACCATGAGAGATCCCAGAGTCACGATCCCCATCACGTCACTGCAACAGGGGCGTGGCAACAGCTCTGTGAGGTGCGGAAACAATGCCGGGTACGGAATCTGTCTATACAGCAGGGTACCGAGTGCTCCTAAGACACCTGTGAACACGGCGCCGAGGAAGTCGCGGGTAAGTATGCAAATCACACGAGTGAGTTCCGCATCGAAAATCATAGATAAATGGCTGGTTTACGTGACAGTGTAACATGTGCAGCCGCGTCTCCACAGCACGCACCAAAACTGTTCAACACACCAACAATTTACCACGTAAAATGCCGGGCTACTCGTGTTGGTGCGGTGGAGACAAAACACGAAACACTTTATTCACTCGCATCTATTGCTAATGCGTTGCCGTCCGGTCACCGCATGGGTCCTGGATCTGTGATTTAGCAAGCGTTTTTTCTTCAGTCGCTGTGGCGTCTCACCCGAGCTGGTCGACTACTGGCAACTGGTCGAATCCCTGCTGGTGCATGATGTGGACGGCGTCCTGACACGGTACAGATGGCAGCACCGTCAGCGGCGCTGTCACGCCCAGCAGTGACACCTTGTGACTCCACCACCTGGCGAAGAGTTGAGAACTAGCGTGACATCGCCGCCCGTTCTCAACTTACGATCACGGGAGTCTCTGGCGGTCAGCACCGTAAGCTTCCGGGTTTTCAAGTCGCCGCCGAGGTTGCTAGCTTCTCTGTCAAAACGTTGCTTTTTGCGGCTTGAGAATGAACGCAGGGTGCAACATCAACACCGTCAAAATAAAGTGGCATGTGATCCACAGACGAAGACGGCAGACGGAAGGTGATTTGATTGTTACACACCGGAGTCGAGCACAACACGATTGTACTCAATCATTTGTAGCCTCAAAATCATTCGGTGAATATTGTATCACTGGGCATGTACGTCGTACGATGAAAACGCACGCCATGAATCAATGTTTACGCCAATATTTGAACAGAACGACGCCGATTTACTACACATCACAACATGTGGCGTATTGAACTTTTGATTCGTATGCAATCAAACGCATTTGGGAGCATTTGGCAAATCTGGGCGCTCTATTACTCGCTACAAACGAGGCAGGATTATGCGGCTGGAAGCGATTAGATTCGGGTTTACGAACGTGTTGCCGGCCATTCCCACTTACGACAGAATGTCTCTGGGCCACTACCACCGGCCGATGACTTAAAACAAACAGTGTCTGGCCATGCCAACGCCTGGAGACGATCATGTCGATCCAGGATAATACTGCCCCTTCCATTCAGCATCGCCGCACAACACGCACGAGCGTTTGGTCACCGAGTGCCGCACTCACGCGGGCCAAGGAGACGCCGCTGAGCCGGCGCACGTGGCCGGCAGGCAGGGCTCCGTCCAGGGGGTCCGTGGGGAGCTGCTGAACCCCCACCGCTCCGGCTGGGCGTCGATCGGGGTCAGCGGATGGGTCGGATCAGGCGCCGAGATCGGCGTCTCGGCGCACATGGAGGCGGGGGTCAACGACCTCAGGAGGTCGTCGGAATGTGCGGGTGACGTCATGGCGGAGTCGGCGAGCTCGGTGCTTGAGGACACGTCCCTGAAAAAGATAGCGGGGTTAACATACCGCGTGTCGATAGATATCGGACGTTAGACCAACCGACTTTGCGCTTCGAAAATGCATCGTTACCGGAGCCATGAAGAGAGCATTGCAACAGAAACTCCAGCAGGAGTCTCTCCTTTGGCTGGAAAATATCAGAGTTGTGGGGGAGAGGGGGGGCGGGGCAACAAAAACCAAAGACTGTTGGGTACTGTAATATCTAAAACACTATCTTAGAACGGGAATCTACAAAACACATTTATTTGGAAATTAACGTTGCGGGGCGACCAAGAAAATGTTGGAAAAATTGTAAGGAAAGATGTAACCCATCCCCCAAACCGGTTCCTGGTTATACACACGTTGATTGTCTGCAGCGATTGTCAGGTCTTTTTGAACCACCAGTTAAGTTACTTGAACTACAACAAGCGGCACTTGGGCATGACCGTGACCGTGAGGGCAGGAGGAAATGCTCCGGCCTTGACGCCTGGCCCGATAGCTTCAGGGGGTTCTGCGCTTCGTCGGAGCGACCTGCTATCGATAAATAACCCACACGCCCAGAGACTACCGTATCATAAGTGTAACAAAAGCATGGCACATTGTCCGCAGTGCGTGCTTTTTACCATCCCTTCGAACGAGAGACTCTTTGGACCTACGTCGTTAGCGTCAATCACAGAGGATGCGCCCGAAATCCTACGTCGTAGCGAGTCCTCAAAAAATATTTTTTGAAACCTGCACTTGCTAGCATTTGCATTGGTATTTATGACTTTTAACAACATTGCAGTCGTATGTGCGCCTTCGATTAACGGCAGTTGACTTCGAAGCAACAAAAGACTATTTTGTTTCTGTGCGCGGCACGAACGGTTATGTCTTTGCCAAATTACCCAGCACCCAACACTCTCGGTGCCTACTGTGATCGAATACGCTATACTTGTTACCTTTGTTCCAAACGTTGCTCGTCATTTTCCAATCATACCTGCCGCTTTATTACATTAAACATTACGATTAATGTCTTAATCCGCAGTGTACCGTTATGGTTGTTCCACTTCTCCGTGATACGATCGTAGCTGAGTTCGACAATATCGAAAATTTAAGCACATCCGTCGCCATTCGGGTAGCTAACATGCTAGAACACCAGAACCCTTCCTGTGTCTGATAAGCTCACAGTTCCCATTGTATTCGTCGGCTTCTCCAGTCAAATCGTCAGGCTGCTCTGACATCACTTACTCGCAAAACCGGACGCGCTTCTTCTGGCGTTCCGTCGACGGCACCCGGCTGAGGCACGACACGGGCGACATCTCAAGCGAGTGGTCAGCGCGAGCGATGCGGCCGCTTCCTCGCACGCTCCCTATCTGCGGACGCGAACGCGCCGCCCGCTCTGGGTCAGAGCGGCCGCGGCTGCCGAAAACTAGATAGAGCCGGTTCGGTCCGGTAAATATTCGGCGCTCCAGTGACCGTGCGGAGTGACGCACTGGCATCTGGCAGAGAACCCTGATATTGGGCGAACTGTGTTTGTTAGCAGGCCGCACCAGTTCGAAGACCTTTACCACGATATCGTATTGCGACAGATGGCCGGTCTGCCTGGTGTGTGACAGACAATCAGCGCCTTTCTGTTCAAGCACAAATGTGTGGTCACAGGCAGCGATTCACTTGAGCTATTATATGACAAAAGGGATGTAACATGCAAGTTATTGTAAAGATGGACTTACTTACTTTCTGTGGGAACCAAAAAACAGTGGAAGTCATAATGCCCACTTTCGGCAAGTTAAGTGCGTGAAGCTTCGTAGTAGACAAAGACTGCAGTCATATACTATACGAGTCTAGACATAGACTAAACGAGTCTGGACACAGACTACACGAGTGTAGACATAGGCTGCGCGAGTAAATGGCCATTAACAAATGCATTCAGACTAACGAAGACCGTGGTGCAGGCTGCCGGCTCACTCTCGACCACTATCAGGGTGGTGCCACCAGCTTGGATCAAAACAATTCCGGATTAACTGATGTTTGGTTCTCCGTTCCTGAGGTACCGGAGGAAGCCCTGAACCAAGTGTATACAAAACTTAGCTCACACGGTCATTAGACACAGCCGCCTCAATTTTAAACCAAATTACGATACATATCATAATACTTTTAATTGCCAGAAACTATACTTCCAGAAAAACTCTCACACAAGCAAATTTGTCTTCAGGCAAGTTGTGCCCAAGGCGGCTACCCGAAAACATCACCTGCCCAAGGTCACTCCAGAGGCTATGCAATGCAGCCTGAACTCGGTTTTGCCCACCGTTTATATCACCTTGGATAGTTGTGTAAAGCGCTTTCTCTTAAGTCCCAATCCTACTCCTAAGCATGACCTCCAGAAATCACAGGTATACAAGCCTCACAAGAGAAGATGTTGAAAGCACGTCTTGAACGTAGCTGAAGCATGTTTTACGCGTTGGCACCTCAACAAACAAAAAGGAGGCTACATTCGAGTTGGCCGAAGCCAGTATAATTGGAGGAAATGGATGAGAGGCGGATGAGAGGATGAGAGGTTGAGCAGGTAACGAATGGTTACTCTGCTTTATACGCGCGCGCCCATGCTTAGCGCTGAGACAGCCAGATTAATATAGCAGTCTAGCGCAAGACATGGCCCCTGCAGCTTGGACCAGCGCCCTGCTTGTTTGATAGCGTGGACGTCACTCGCTGCCCCGACGGTCACCGGCCACAACATGTTTAGCTTTGATGAGATGAGATGCTCGCCCGTTCAAAACAGCCTGACGCGCGACCCTGGTCGGCAGAAACCGCAGCAAGATCGCTTTGTCCCCTGTCTCTGTGTTCCGACGCAATATCACGAGGAACTGTCTCTTCAGGAGACAAAGTATGGAGGAAGACATAACTTTTCTCTGGACGCGCTTTTAGATCGTCTCACGACATCCAGACATCCCCGCAATGGCAAGTGCAGACAAGCTGTCCGTGAGTGTATACAATCAAATCTCTCCCTAGACATGTGGAGAGTATGAAACGCAAACCGGCGAAAATATGCTGCATTCTTTCAGAGCAATTCTGTCTTAATTTCGCAAATATCTTTTCTTGATCAGCGACACCTTTTACTGGATGCCGTTTTGCCGACGGGTTTCATGAGAAACGGATGTTTGTGTAACCACCGTATGAACGCCTCGGGCATTTATTTTCAGTCGGTACATTTCGTCCCAACATGTTGGAAATTTAACAGCGTTCTGCTACTTGATGATAATCTCGACTCACAGACAAAAATCGGCCAACAAAATCATAATCAATCAATAACGGTTGAGAGTTGCATAGCCGGCATGACAAACAAAGTGCAAAAAATAGCCCAATGTGTTCCAGGGTTTTGAGTTTCTCAACAACAGCGAACACCCCCATAACTGACCGTGTTTGTGCCTGGGAGTGGGATGGGAGGGAGGTAGGCGTAACTATAGTACGGTCGAAATAATACGGGGAGTGTAAAGGCACGAATCCAGACATGCCTGACAGTCTGTTTCCATGCCAGCCATCCGTCTCAGTCATGTGTGCTGATGCGGTGTGTTTGTTTCATGTCTCGCCCCGCGGCGCGAGCGGCCGGGCCTCGCTGACGCAGCGGTGTGTCCTAGCGGGGTGGCCGGCTCCCCCGCACGCAGTTCCACATCAGTGCTACAACATATACTTCCACCGATGGGTGTGCGACGACTTTTGTTCTGTTACCAATGCTTCTACACGACAAAGTACTATGCGGTACAAGTTATGCTGCAAAAACGCGCATCCGTCAGTGCTTCTGCCGCAACAATTTATACCGTCATTACTTCCACGCGATATAACTACTACGGCAAAGACTGATGCGTGGCATTAATGCTGCACGGCAGAACTAGTTTTCCACAATTTCCGAACAGTGTGGCATAACCACGCGAAAACTTGCTAAGCTCCTGGCATTTGAATGTTGGATAGTTTGGTATGAGAATATATGTGGCACGAAACGCCGCTGACCTATGGCATGTCAAAGAGAGACCGTGGCTGTCAGCGAAGGTAACTTCTAGGAAATTTAACTATAAGGGATTTCAACCATGTTGGAGTTCCAATCTGATGTAAGGATTTCAATCAATCGACATTGGAGTGTTAGACAAAGCCATGCATCTCTGAGATAGTTTCTTGGACAATAAGGCAATTCAATTTAGGGTTACGACCAATTCCATCGACCTTGGATCACGGATAAAGGTCAGATGGAAGCAAAACCAACCTGTTTGTTTTACTGGAGAGCTTGCTTTATGGGGTAGTTTCTTATCCATCGTCCACGCATTTATACAATCCGTTGAGCGCTCTAGAATGCAGCATAATCACAGCTTGAAGTTAACTTTAACCATTGTACAGCACTGGTAATACTGCTTTACCAAATCATCATTGGTTAATAATAATTGCCGTTATATGGCCGCCACTAAAGAGACAAAAACATCGGCGTTTATTTGCAGATCGCTTGAAAAGTTGTATTGATCCAAGTACTGTGGCGGAAGATGTGCACTAATCCTAAGCCTTGTAACCTACCGAGACGCACTAAGATAGTGCTTCTTTCCCACAGATATACAGTGACACTAATATGTTGCGGCTAATTGTACAATTCAATGTGCATCGCCCAGCATAACACACAACTCTAGAACGGCGTGGGTATACTTGATGCGTTAGAGGGCCGTTGCTGCTAAAGGTCTTGCGAACCTCGCCAGATGGCCCGTTCGATCTCGCTAGAACAAATAAACGCACCCTTGCAAGAGTGCGGCTGCAGAAAAAGACACGTTCGGTCAAGGCCGGAAAGGCGTGGCCATCTCTCCCAGCGGACATATGCATGCTTCCCAATATTGGTCACTGGTTCCCATTGCTTTTTTCGATAAAACAGATCCTGTTTGAAGTGACAAAACTTGCGATTCTCCAAGCCACCGAGATAAAAGTTTGAAACTGGGCCAGTATTCAAGATGGCGGCCGCCATCTCGAGTTATGAGGAATGCCTAAAGTTGCACAGGAAGCAACCAAGCTAATTTGGCTCTCTTGGCTACAAGAGGTAATTCTATGGGAGCCTTCTGTCAAGTGTCCGCGGTAATTGCCATTGCAGAGTCCCATAAGAAGCACAAGGATGGCAACTCGATTGCACTTTCCTGACCAAGTGAAAAGAGTCCCCTTTAGTACATGCGTCGCATATGTAACGCATGTTTTCATAATTATGGTACATCAAATATGCAGCTTCTGTGAGTGGTACCCTGACCATAAGTATGAGAAGACAACAAACGATATAAATTGATCAAAAGAGGTGATTTTCCTTCTTCGAGACCAGACTATCTTTCACCTTCCACCCGCAATTTGACCCTGAATCTGACCCCATGAGGGAAAAAGAACCATTGACCACAAGTCCAGATAGTGGCGGCCGCCATCTTGAATTCTGAGACATGCTCAAAGTTGCAAGAGTAGCAATTGGGCTAATTCGGATCTACGAGCTACATAGACCACATTTCCATAAAAAGGTTGCGGTAGTCGACATTGCATGGTCTCCTTTAGGAAGTTCAGGATGACAACCTGACTATCGGGGTTTGCGAGGTAAGCATGCAGTCGAGTTTACTGGTAGTCATTCACTGTCAGTTTTATCCCTTATTGCATAATAGATAAGCTAGTAGTAATAGCCTCATTCCTCGGACAAAAGCCAGGAGAATGGAGATATAGTTGTGTTGCTATTTTGAAAACATGCCATTATGGAAACAATAGCAGAAGTGAACTCAAAATCGCCTGCCGGTGATCCTTCTCGATTTTTTCAGGTTTTTTTGAAAGAGCAAGATAGTTTTTACAGGACACCAACATTCAGGGGATTAAACAAAGAGCGATTCCCAGCTATTATCACGATACAGTGCATATTTAAGAATTAGAATACGCGGACATACGTGTACATGCAAGCGAATTCAAGCAAATAGGCATCACACATCATGCTTTATTCAAACATGTAAGCGAGTTGAAGTAAACAAGCATCACACATCGCGCATCAATTATACATGCAAACGAACAGGCATCACACGTTACGCATCAGGTATCACTTACACATGCAAACGATTTTAAACTAACACACATCTCACATAAGGGCACATATCACGTTCGCATAATCGGCCATGATGATGAGCTCTGTATCTTAGAATTTGGTTACAGACTTTATAAAAAAGGTTCACTTATTTTCCTGTATGGGTGATCCCGCGCTCTGTAGCCGACTTTGAGCTTATGGAAGAACGACAATAAGCTTAAGAAGTCACTGGTGAAATCTTATATCTCGTAGCCTAAGTGCCCGGATGGCAATGTATGCCATTTGTGAAGTTCTGGGCTTCAAGGGTTTTGCACGCAAAAAAACGTGGTTTACGAAATGAATGTAGACTGTGTGAAAAAAACATGAGAGGGACGTAGTCTATGTCGAGGAGTGCATCCTATTCGTTTGAGATAAAATGAACACCTGCGAGGCGCGAGGTTTCGGGGGAAATTTGTCACTACATAGATGCTTCAAGCTAATCGCGTAAACTTGTCTTTCGTATAAGGAACGTTCCCAAGCTTTACCTGTATAAAACGCTCCGAAAAAAACATTGTGAGCACGGCCTCTTATTTACATAGATCTCATGCTGTTTTTGCATCTGGTGCTTGGCTTGTCACTGCACCCCGGACCCTGTCATCTCACTCTTTGGGGTTCATTGTATTCCAATGATCACGATGGTAATAATCGATGCGCACATAAATAATGCCCCAAGTCTCCTATTCCGGAACTTTCCCTGGCCTACTCACCCTTCCGTCTGTTAGTCTCACGCTGCCTTCTTGGCCGCTATCATCGCAGAATCCGTCCACCATCGGGGATTGACGAGCCAGCAATTTGTCCGCTGGGAAGACCGGGTCCCGACCACCACTATGCAAAGCCACGGGACATAGCTGGCAGGCGAACCATGATTGACGTGCAGCTAAAGTGTTCCGGAGTTCAGTTGCGCCGTGACTGTCGTCGAAGACGGCGCCGAGACTGATTGAACCAACAAGCCGCGGCCGTGGACGCTCTGGCTGGGATGGAATTCGACGTCAGCGAATTTTTCGAGGAAAGTTCTTGCTGTTTGTGGCGCCAATGACGTGAATTTGGTTACCGATACCGGAACAGCGATCAGCTATCCCGTGCAAGCAGGAGCACCCGCGATCCGTCCCATGCCATCCCTCTTTCCACTCGAACAGAGGCGCGAGGTCATGAGATAAGCCGGAGGTCTTATCCAATAGCACTATTTTCCGTCCAGTTATACAGGCGCTTAATTACTTGCTCCACAACACTGTTTATGCATGAATCACGCTGGTATTGCATGACGGGTTCCATGATCCGTAATGTCGTATCATTTATAGCGAAATTTAGATGTTCCGAGATGTTAAAAACTGCATTTTCCAAACCACATGCAAGAAAAACATCAGGAAAACCCGACCGTTGAGCGGAGATGCCTTTCAGAACAGCGGCGAGTGTTACACTGCCCGGCCATCATTGACTAGTGTCAGGTGTTATCGTTTCGATGCTGCCACACGTGGCGAGAAGGAAGTGGCATCACCTGACTGCGAGTGGTATTCCTGAGTCATCAATTCTCTTACGGGAAAGAAATAAGTTCAGAAAGAGATTTCCCAAGACGACACCTATGGACCAATCGCATACGTGGTACTCTGAAGTTCGCTAGCAGTGTTATCTAATCCTCTGCCCTGATGACTGCTGGCTACACTGGTTGCGACATAACTAGAGGGAAATAAGCCAACTGCACAAGAGTTAAGAACCATGCCATTCATCCGTGACCGTCCCTAAACAGTCACCACATCAAGTGCAATTTACGGTGTGAAGATTGTGTTCTGGTACATGGTATGAAATTTCGAAGCATCGGTGTTTCATAACTGCTCAAATTCGGCGCCACTGAAACGCTAGTGAAGCCTGGTTTTGGAGATAAACGCACTTTAGGTAACACAATATTCACTGACGGGAATGGTGTCAACGTAATGGAATGACCGGCTGCAACCTACACAGTGTGCTGGCATTGCAGTTCCCGCTGCATGCTTGGCGCCCTGTTAGAGAAGGCAGCGTGCATAAGACGCTTCTATATGAGATGCATAACGAGTTTAGATACATTGTCTCTAGAATGTTTGCAGAGAATTGGCGTGGGAATGAATACTGCACTAGTTGCCTGAGAATATACATGACATATCAGGGAACTAGTAAACAGGTGTTGGGTCGCCCGAATCTTGGTTCGTTCGTATCGCGAACCGGATGCGGACGTGGTGCGTCACCACCTCCGCTACGGAGAGCGCGCCGCGTCGCCCGAAGATCGGAAAAATCGCGGAATACAGTACATACAAACGTAGGACGTGGGTACGACGAGCGACTTTCTCTGGATTATCGGGATAATGTCAAATGGTTGTTGTGGGTCCACGAAACCAACTAGTCAGTTTTTGTTAAAAACACTGGGTGAAAAGTGGCGTGCATCTTTCAGAAGACCGTGCCCACACAAGTTCCCATGGATTACCAGCAAAGGTGCGCCGTAGAACCATGTGCCTGCCGACTCGCATCCATGGAGGCCGGTCCTGTGGCTGACATCTATTTTGAATGATGCGCCGTTTGGCGAAACAAAGAGATACTGACGAAATCGTTCGGGATCCTTAGTGGGGGAGGAGTCTTCAACACAGGCTTCTAGCTCCGCTGACAAGGACGTCGTCATGTTTTTCAGGAAACCAAGCTCTTCGGCAAGAACATCACTCCGGCTGTGCCAGGCTCCGCAGCCGAACCCGCCCCGCTGGAGGACCATGCTGCGTACTCCGCTAAGTACTCGGCCAGAAAAGTGTATCCCGCCTACCGCTGCATACATCGGCTCTGCCACGGCCGAGATAAGAACAGAGGGACATCAAGGTTTTGAAAACGCTCTTCTGCGCGCACTGCCTCAAACGTGATGTTCAGTCTACAAACCATTTTGCAGTGGTCTGCGGACGCGTCCCACCGCGCCTTCCTCGCGAAGGCCATACACGGTCCGCCAGTCCCCACATGGGGTGGTATAAAGTGCAGTGGTCTGCCATTAGTGTCCCAGTTGTTGCGCGTTATCGCTTGTCCTCAGTCCTAAGAGCCCGACTTCAGTAGCTACTGTGCTCTATGCTGTGCACTGCTTTAACAAAAATAATTGACCAGGTGCTGTTGACCTTTGATAAGTGCAGAGGTATGTCGGCGGTAACACTAAACGTTTTTGTGTGTTCTGAGTTTGAACAACACGAATGCATCTGTAATCAATAACGCCTTGTCATGTGCCTTCCCGGATGCTCCCAACTGGCCGGAGTGTTGTCTGTGCATAAAATCAAGAGGCGGGAATAAGGGGCAGCGTCAGAACAAAATTCGGGCCAAAATGTAGGGTACGGCGTAAATGAGAAGTGTCCTGAAATCTTTACCATTCACGGCGATTCCTTTTGTTTTCTCTTCCGCTGTGTTTATAACAATTAAGGAACCCATCAACTCAATTACGTAACAATTAAAGAACTCTTGTTTAACATTCTGTTGTGTACGTGATTAGTTGCCCCTGTCCTAACGACGTCATCATCGTCCTGGTGGCACAGTGGTTTATCGCGCCTGCGTTGTGAGCGTGTACGCATCTCGTGATGGGTTCGAATCTCATGAGCGGCGGCCTTTCTTCTGTAAGGAGACCTTTTACTTTCGCGTCTGTTCTCGAAGCTACGTGGTCACGTGACCCGGCCAATCACAGGCCGGGGAGTAGGTCACGCCTGGGGTCGGGGTCGGCGGTGGGTCAGTGGTGGTCCGGGCGGCGCCGGGGAAGGTAAGTCAGCTTTCGTTGATATTCACGACGTAGCTGGCTCATTTCCCTCCGCCCCCTTTGACTCCGACTCCGGTTCTTGTACCCTCCGCTGTCGTTGGTATACACGACGTCAGCGTGTCCTTGTCAACATTGATATTCACGATGTTGACGCATCTTTCGTGGCCGTTGTTGTTACCGACGACTGCTACCTCCCCTGGGGAGCATAGCCGCCCTATACTCTTACCGAACATGGTCTAACGATGTGGGAAATTTGGATGACTTCATGCCTATATGCTCCTGTGATTAATATACCGGAGGACCCCGGCGGCGCTGGCCAGCCGACGAGCACCAGCCAGCGTCCTTCACCCGTCAGGGCCAGGAGACGGCTACAGCCATCGCAGAGGATGGCATACCGAGGGCTACAGCGGAGCTGAATCAACACCCGACTCCAGAAGCCGCACTTGTCCCTGTTGCACCCAACCCCGTCATATGAGTCGGAGATGGTGGTCGAGAAACTGAGTAAGTGGACGTGCGTCTGCGGGAATATTGTTCAAAGGTTTTCTCAGGCTAACCGTATAAAGTGATAATAAAGTCAGCTTTAATGACACGACAGCATGCGTTGCTCAGGCACATTACGAAAATAGTGCAATTCGTGCCGTGTAAGGAATCTTTATAGGCACATATATTTCAAATTCAGTCCATATGAAATTTGGACGTGTCTCGACCAATGATTTGCTGTCGTTTATAATTTGTCTCGCTCTTGCTTCTGTTCGACAACCCCTGAAATTGTTTTGTTCGTCCACGTTACTACTACTCTGTCATTTAATTGGTAACAAACGCTATTTGTTTCCGGCTGTTCGTTTTGTTCAAAGGAACTGCAGCATTGGCTGACATGAGATGTCTTCCGTTTCAGACGAAGATGGAGCAGGAGGAAGAGATCAGTTGATAGGATCGCCTTTGAACTTATATTCCAGAAGTCGCACTTGTCCCTGTTGCACCCAACCCCGTTATGTGAGTCGTATATGACGGTCGAGAAACTGAGTAAGTGGATGTAGGTCTGCGGGGATATTGTGAAAAGGTTTTCCCAGGCTAACCGTATAACAGTGATGATTAAATCAGCTTTAATGACACGACAGCGTGCGGTGCTCATGCACATAACGAAAATAGAGCAATTCGGGCCGTGTAAGTGAGGTTTATAGGCACATGTATCTCAAATTTAGTCTATAAAAAATTGGGCGTGTTTCGGCCACTGATTTGCTATCGTTTATAACTTGTCTCAAGTTTTCTTCTGTTCGAGGACCCCTGAAATTGTTTTATTCGTTCACGTTACTTCAACTCTTTGTCATTTCGTTGGTGACAAACAATATTTGTTTCCAGCTGTTCGTTTGTTCAAAGGAACTGCAGTATTGGCTGACACCAAATGTCTTCTGTTTCAGACGAAGATGGAGCAGGAGGGAAGAGATCAGTTGGTACGATTGCCTCTGAACTTATGCTAGAAAGCTCGTGGTTCTTCGTCTTGTGTAAATGTTTTGTAAATACATGCGTGCAGCCTTGGCTGACATGGGATGTCTTCTGTTTAGGACGAAGATGGAGCAGGAGGAAGAGATGAGATGGTGCGATCGCCTCTGAACTTATACTAGAAAGTTCGTGGCTATTGGTCTTATGTTTTGTAAGATACATGTGTGTCTGATTGTAAATAAACACATGCATTTCCCAATTAATGTCTGTTCAGGCAACGAGTGGTGAGTGAGACCGAAAAAGACAGTGGGGAATTCGGTGAATTTTGTCAGCCAGTCATTTAGTGAGACATTGTCAGAGCGCCACAATGCGATGTTCCTATGTCTTGTTTTACTTGTCAATGTCTGCATTTCGGACAACAAACAGACAAGGATTTGCGACTGACAAGGATACAATAATGATGAAAACTAGCCAGCCAACCATGTCCAACAGATGTGGTTGCGCTGCAAAACACTCCCTCATATTGTTTCGTCATGTTATTTTGGACGGGGATGAAAAGGTTGTAGGACTTTGAAGATGAATAGCGGGAAAAATGTGCAGAAGAAGATGCACATTCATTAAAGACGCTGGACAATACCTCAAGTGAGCTAAATGAAAAACATGGTGAGTTCGAATCAAACAGTGCGTTTATTATAAGATGTATCGGATGTCTGCATTTCAGGGATAGCCATCTGCCTGCGTCAGAACACAAGATCGTAGAACAGATAAGATGTACACGAATATCGGCAAAAAATCAGATACGTGCAGAACCAGAGTTTATCAGTTAATCCCGCATTAATGTAAATATTTTTCCTTGACCATAGACTGGTGCCGCTGGTGGGGGTCGGTCAGCTGATAATCGCTAGTCTGGTTGGAAGCCCTTTCCCACGTCAACGTCCACATCCTCGTCCATCCAATATCAACAAACGTTCACCGTCCCTGAACAAATGCAAAACACCGGCAAGATCATTTCCCTTGCTGGCCATCATCCTTGCCATCTTCATTCCATACTATCATCATCCCATACCTCAGACGACATACCGAGGACTCAAGCGGACAATGAGCAGAATCATCACTCGATTTCAGGAGCCGCACTTGCCCCTGCTCTACTGAACCCTGACGTGCGAGTCGTGCAGGGTGATCGAGAAAGAAGGTAAGTGGACGCACGTCCTCGGGATAGTGTTCCAAGGTTTTCTCTGGGTGTTCCGTAAACAGTGGTGATAAAGGTAATTTAATTAAACGACACTGTAGTGTGCACCACTTTTGCGCGTAACGAATATAACGCACATCTCGCCGTGTAAGGAGACTTTACTAGCTCGTTCACGTCAAATCCAGTCGACGAAAAACTGGGGCGTGTTTTGAACAATGGTTTACCGTCCTTTATAGCTTGTGACACTTATTTCGCTTCGATGCCCATGAACTAGCTATGTTGCCCATTCACGTTGCTACCACTCTTTGTCGTCTGTGAAAAACGGTGTTTGCTTCCTGCAGTTTGCTTTGTTCAAAGGAGTTCCAGCATTGTCTGATATGAAATGCCTTCTGTTTCAGCCGCAGATGGAGCGGGAGATCAGACGGTGTGATTTCTTCTGAACTTATACCAGGAAGTTCGCGGCTCTTTTTTAGGTGTAAATACGTTGTAAATAGATGTGTTATAAACAAACACATATATTTTCCATTGAGTGCCGGTGCTCAGACGACGAATGGCGAGTGAACAGGGCGAATATGGTGACGTGCGGTGTACGGGCAGAGAAGCTGGACGATCCATGTCCAACGATGGCACGCACACGCAGTCTGTTGCGGATGAGCCTGAAAGACCGATTCAACATCATCGGTTCTGGCAGAGTGTTCTGCTAGCCCGCAGACGTCGGTCCTGGTAATTTGAGAACAACGCGTGTGCTGCATTTGAGTGTTTTGATGGTCTGTGTCCTTCTTTATTCTTTTGGTGTTTTCCTGTATCCTTATGTGCTGATGTTTCGACATCCAACACTAAGAGAAGGTGGACGATCCACCATTTTCTGGTGTTCGGATTTTATTCCATTCTGGTGTGATGTTTTTATCTTCCCGCATTTAAAAAGAGAAACGTCATTGGTGGCAAAGACACCCAATCACAAACACCACATTGCGTTTAGCCCAAAATTGGGTGAATATCTGCAGGTGGCTAACACTATCCTTTTTGTGTTTGACTTTGTCACTCCACATTTAAACAAAAATGCATTTCTTGTTGCAAGTGTGTCCTTAGCGCTCGTTCATTGACACCTCTGACCCCCTTCACAACTTTGGCACTCACCATTTTTTTTGTCTAGTTAGACACGTTAAGAAAATACACATTTCAAGTTCAAAATGTGGCAAAAATTCAGCCCAGTTTACGATACCATAGCCCAAACAAGCATAAATAAAACGGATGACGAAGTAGGTCAGGGTCTGAAGCTGGGTCTCACATCGCCGTTCTCTAATGTTTGCCTCACGTGCACTCTGGGTCTTGTTTCTAGGATGTTTCTAGGATGTCAAGCAGGTGGAGAAAGGGATGGAGAGAAGAAACGTGAGCTAATGCGGCGGTCAACAAGCAGGGTGCAGTTAATGCACCACCCCCTAGGTCCGGATTTGCTATTTTTACCATAAATGGTCCGCCGGAAACTAAAAGGCGGTGTGTAACGCCTACTCACCGAGCCTCCCTTGAAGTCACCCAAGCAAATCCAGGCTGCACCCCTGAAAATACAAATATTTTCGGTTTGAAGCTTAAACAATGTCGAAGACTTCAATCTCTTCGGGTGGTTGAGCCGCCGATATTTAATGTTGGATCTGACGCTGGATGACATTTCGGCTATTTCGATTCAGATTATTTTTAAGGCGCTGTCGGGCTATGAAGCTTCGTTATCCTGGTTATTGACTGAACAGATTCTTTGTTTCATTTGTTGATACAAAAGTAAGACCACGAAGGTCGACGTGAGGGAGGTGACGCAGATAGGAGTAACTGGATCCCGTCTGTCACGCTTCTGGGGCGATCAGTCTTTTCTTGTTTCGACGCTATTGAATATAATTCCGCGGTCTAGTGATCAGAAAGCTCTTTTGGGCTGAAGTAAATGACCGCAATGGGTAGTGTAACTACTTGTCGCGTGACTTGTATCAGGTTCCGGAACCAGGGAGAACGCAGAAACCAGTCTAGAATTGGTCCGAGTGATCCAGCAGGAACTAGGATTCCGCCTCACATCAAGCCGAAAGATATGGTAATAACCAGGACGCAGCCCAATATTAGGTAGAAAGATCCACCAAGGGCTAAGATCCATCCCGAGCCTAAGCCGCAAGACCCAAGAAGAAACAAGATCCAGTCGGATACCAGCCCAAGAGAACCAGTAGGAACCAAAATCCAGTCTTACAGTATGCTGAAAGATCCAACAAAAACCAAGATCCAGACTGGCATTATGTCGAAAGCCCCAGCAAGAACCAAGATTCAGCCTGGAACATGTAGATGTCCAGCAAGAACCAAGGTACCGCTCAAAATTAAGCTGAGATGTAGCGAGAACCAAGGTTTAGGCTAAATTAATGCCAAAGTAACCAGCAAGAACAAAAATCACATGAGACTTCTGTCAGCCTTCATATTTTAAGTTCAGCAAGGTGATTCTCAGGGGCGTTATCTTTCAAAATAGTTGGGAAGCTGAGCAGGGAAATGGCTATACCTATGACCATCTTTTCTTAAAGTCGATAGGCCTAAAGTGACCCAACAATATGACACAACACCTTTGGCGTTCCTAAAAGGGAATGTTCCACATTTGAAGGTGTTGAAGCAAGCATCAGATGTGATGAAAGAAACTCACTTGTAACTATTGCTGCGCTTTTGAAGTGGAAAAGACTGTTCCAGACAGCACAACCTTTGTTAAGTACATATGTTCCTTAATGCGTCACGGTCTGATTCAGTCATCGTGCCTTCCACAACATAAATTAAGAGCCAATTGGAGGTGATATATTTGAAAATTGTGCCCACAAACCCAATATATGAAAGCCTTGACAATTTTTTTTTGCCTTGATCGCTGCATAGCTCATGAGAATGGCAGGATTTGAATTACGTTATCATAACGTCATGAATGCTAGGGTGACTGAAATACTCTCCTCATTTCGCGGCTGTGTAGCTCAGAAACTAGGGGGGCCTAGCTCTTAAGGGCAGGATTGTGGATAGCACCGAAAGGTTTTCAAGACGGATATTCCAGCTTAGAAACCATATAGCTGTGTTACACTCCCGTAAATTGATAAAGCTGAATGGAAACAATGTGCATTAACCCATTTTAGAAAGCCACCCAAATTTCAGATGTTTAATGCAACCCTGCCACAATCGATGCAGCCCTGCCACACAAGGCATCCGCCACACTTCCCAAAGTGAAGGATGCAGAATGCAATCATGTGAGTTTGAGCATTTAATTCTTCTGCATGCATGCAATATCTTGTGTGTGTTGCTTGAACAATTCTCTTTTGACACTTGCAACACAAGGTTTTCTCGAAAGCTATTTACTTATTTTTTCTATGCTGTTACCCAAGAACGGGTAACCGGGAGTGCCCCTCCCTCAATCCCAGCGACGCAGTAAACCGTACGTTAACACCAGAAAACATAAAATAAAGTCGCGGCACCCCCAACTAGGAAGAAGAAACAAACAAAGAGGCGGGCGGAGAGGTGGTGCAGACCCCAAGGAATTGTGTTATGTAATAGGCAAGGAAAAATCATACATGAGAATGCTTAAAGTAGTCATTAGCTAAAGTCAGCTAATGACAACCCGCTATAACCGCCCAATAAGCTACAACCACTCAATTCACCGTGTTAGTAAGGGTTGTACAGACACACAGGTCGGAGGGGGCAATGACCTGGTCATTTTCGTGCTGGGTTTTGAGCTGGATGTCCAGGGAGTTCACCCAGCTAAGCGGAGCTTGTTGCTGGAAGAACTCCCGGAGCCAGCGCCGTGAATTTGGGTGCATGTGCATGACTTTAACTATATCAGAACGTGATTATGGAACATGAAGGAGGTTAAATATGAAGTGCGTTGCATATGTGCAGCGCAAATGATTGCAATATCTTCAGATATGTTAGCCACGTTAATATGTATTCACGAAACGCTTGCTGATGATGTTCTT